CAGGCAGGAGGCCATCAGCTATTTCTGCCGACAAAGGGGCTCTTAGGGGTTAGGGTTGAAGGTTCTCAGATTTACTGTGTCATCCCAGCTGTCCTCATTTCCATTTTCAGGACCCCACTCTTCCCAATCAGCAGCCTAATGTCACACAGAAGACTCAGTGACCCTGTGAATCCAGCTCATGTTGTCATCAAGCACCAGGGAGGGTCAAAGCCTGCTTAGGCTTCACAAGATCAGGGAGCCTCTTCCCAGCGTGGAAACTGGGTCCCTGCTTACCCTTCATCTGGGAGTTAAAAGCTGACCTTTTAATTTTCTCTCTGAAATCTCTCCTATTAAATCAGAAGCAGCTAGCTCATCCCACAAGCTTTATGATCACTATTCCCTGCTGTGATGGTCACTCGTGGCAGCCTAACTTTCAGGGGGCATGTAGGCAGCGAGAGGCAACACTTTAACTGCTGCCAGGGCATGCTGTCAGCCAGGCCTTCTCTACAGGCCAGGGCAATCAATTCAGACACCACCCCGATCCTCATTTCTGTGTGTCTACTCCCTAGCACCACAGTAGGGACTGAGGACATGTGTCAATGCTCAGTCAAAAGGGCAGAACTTCTGTAGATATTTCAAACAGAGATGAACTTTATGTCAAGTTGGTTTCAAGGGGGCTGGGCGAGCTAGAGGGGTGTGAGGGAGGTGCCAACTGGAGATCAGAAAGCTGGGAACTGCTTCAGGTGCTACTGTAGCACAGAAACCCAGGGCAGAGCTGCTCAAATCATCACCTGTGTTGGTGCCACTCACTGTAACCCCTGTGGTGACCATCTTGCAGCCAGAGCCACCAGGCCAATAATGCTGGCTCCTCCCGCCCCATTGCAACCTCTCACAGGTGCCTGCCCTTGGCACAACCTAACATGGGTCAGCTGGCAGGGACTGTGGGAAACATAGTTATGTGCCTTGCAGCGTCCTGGGATACCCAGGAGAACATGCAGCCAGGCATTGCTGTGAAGATAAAGTGAGCTAACTGATAAAAAGAGCTACGAGAGCACCAGCACGACACTAACTCATTGTGCTTTTTCCAGTGCGGGAGGGCAGCCTCAAGGATAATAGTGTCTTCAGTTCTCCTACGGTCTTAGGTTTGAAGTTGGTTTCTTTAAGTGGTAAGCACTGCCAGCTGAAGAGTTTCTGCTTTGCTTCTCTCCCTGCTTCTCAAATGGTTAATAGCTGCACACAACACCTACCAATCTCACACCTAACTTCTCTTGGCTCTCTTCCTTTAACTCTCCAGGTGTCTTCCTCTTCTGTTATCTTTCCTAACCTTAACCCATCCTTGAACATATAGCACTAAAAAGAGAAAAGACAAGCCATACAAAAAGCAAAACCAGCTAAGGAATAGAGACATCTCAAAGCTTAAGAATGTCAACATCAGAGGTTGTTTCTTGCGACGACCGAAGGATTGTACTATGCTGCTGGTTCGTCTGGGGCAGTTCCTTGCCATTGTCTTTTGTGAATGTCAAGGACTTTCCCCAAAGGTCAGGAACCAGAGAAAAGGAGATCCTTGACTAGGAACAGAATGCTGAGGCTGAAGCAGCATCCCCTGCCTTTGCAGACCCAGAGGAGTCTACTCTGAATAGTCATTTTTAGACAACCAATGTAGGCTTTTAAACAGATCTTTAAAAACTTTTTTTTTTTTTGAGACAGAATTTCACTCTGTTGTTCTTGGTAGAGTGCCATGGCATCACAGCTCACAGCAACCTCAAACTCTTGGGCTCAAGCGATTCTCTTGCCTCAGCCTCCCAAGTAGCTGGGACAACAGGCACTGCCACAATGCCTGGCTATTTTTAGAGATGAGTCTCACTCTGGCTCAGGCTGGTCTTGAACTCCTGAGCTCGGGTGATCCACCAGCCTTGGCCTCCCAGAGTGTTAAGATTACCAGTGTGAACCACTGCACCCGGCCCTAAAAATTCTTACTTTAAAACTCACCACGGTTTTCCACTGCTCTCAGAATGAAAGCCAAATTTACTACCCACCTTCCTGAGCTGGTCTCACCTTGCTAACCACACCTGCTGTGTGCTCTGCCTTACTCACTAAGCTCCAGCCATGCGGGCCTTTTGGTTTCTCCAATCATGAGACTTCTTGCTTGGGTGTTCTTCCCACAGGCTGTCTTGTTCAGAAAGTTCATCTTGCCCTGGCTTTTTTGCATTGCTGGCTCCTTTTCTTTCTTCAGATCTGGCTTCTCAGGGAGGCTACCCTGTCACCCTCCCATGGTTTTGTTTTCTTCATAGCTCTTACCATTGGAGGACGTTCTAGCCCTAGGACTTGGAAGTAAGCTCCACAAGACCAGAGACCATGACGTCTCAGACACCATCTGTCCCCTTGTGCCCAGTAGTACCTGATGTGTATTTCTGTGCGCAATTATTTGGGCCAGGAAATGAGGTCACAATGGGGAAGAAAACATTGAAACCTAACACATTCCAACCAAAACCCCTGTCACAATTGGTTTGCACACGTATGGTCCATCACAAAGGAAGGCTCTTACTGGGCCAATTCGTTCTTTTTCTTGAGACAGGGGCTCCCTCTGTTGCCTAGGCTGGAGTGTAGAGGTGTGATCATATTTCGCAGCAACCTCAAACTCCTAGCCTCAGATGATCCTCCTGCCTCTGCTTCCCAAGTAGCTGGGACTAAAGGAGCATGTCATTGTGCCTGGTTAATTTTTCTATTTTTAGGCTTGGTGCCTGTGGTTCAAGTGGCTAAGGCACAGCCACATACACCTAAGGTGGCAAGTTTGAATCCAGCCTGGGCCTACCAAAACAATGACGGCTGCAACCAAAAAAATAGCTGGGCGTTGTGGCGGGCGCCCGTGGTCCCAGCTACTTGGGAGGCTGAAGCAGGAGACTTATTTCAGCCTAGGAGTTGGAGGTTGCTGTGAGTTGTGATGCCACCGCACTCTACCCGGGGGGATAGCTTGAGGCGCTGGCTCAAAAAAAAAATTTTTTTTTTCTATTTTTAGTAGAGACAGGGTTCAATCTTGCTCAGGCTGGGCTTGAGCTCCTGAGCTCAAGGGATCCTCCTGCTTCAGCCTTTCAGAGGGCTGGGATTACAGGCATGAGCCACTGCACTCAGCCCTCTTTACTGGGCTATTTCAGATATCTAGTACATTCTGTTGATGAGTCACGGTGCATCACAAAGTCCTATTGTTATACCCAAAGCGAGCAGAATAAGAGAAACGCCAGGCCTTTTCTACAGGCCAGGGCAATCAATTCAGACACCACCCCATCCTCATTTCTGTGTGTCTACTCCCTAGCACCACAGTAGGGACTAAGCACATGTGTCAATTAAGCAAGGGTCCTTTACTGATCAGCTGGGCCGAGAGGGGATTCAAGCCTCAAAGTCTCTCAACCCCTAGAAGCAGTGGTGGAAACATTTTATAAAGGGCTTTCGGTAGGGGAGGGAGAATCCTTAAGGCAAGTCAAATTTGACAAGAGCCAACACCTGGTAAGGGGAGTCCTTACAAGGGGTGGCTGGAGTTTTGCCGTTATTACCCAACTCTTAGCTGAGCTTCCTATCTTTTTTTTTTTTTTGCACAGTTTTGGCTGGGGCTGGCGCCCTACTCCTTTGAGCCACAGGCGCCACCCTGAGCTTCCTGTCTTAAAAGGGGAGAGTTGAAAGCCCCCAGGAAGATAGAGTTGGGGCATAACACTGCTCTGTCTTCAAATGAGGTTTCAAATCCTACCACTTCCCATGAGCCTTTAAAAAGTTAAGTTGAACCACCTTACTCTTCTGAAGGCCTCTCCACTCATTTGGAAAGAAGTCTGTGGTCTCCACTGCTGTCCTTGCTCTGGCCACCTCCTGTCATTCTTTTTCTTATTTTTGCAGTTTTTGGTCAGGGCTGGGTTTGAACCCGCCTCCTCCAGCATATGGGGCTGGCGCCTTACTCCTTTGAGCCACAGGCACTGCCCATGTCTCCTTTTCTAGCTAGTTTGACCTTGCCCCTGCTGGCCTCCTCATCACCACCTGCCTCCTTTCTGATTCTCTACTTCTCCCCCACCTCACAATCAATAGCCAGAGGACTCTTTTTCAAAATGAAGACACAGTTTATGACTCCACCGTTGAAATCCTTCAACCACTGCCTATTTTTCTTAGGCAAAATTCCAACAAGCCCCAGTGCTGGCTGCCTCTCAGATTTCATGAGGCACACATGGCTCTCCAGACCGGTCTTCCCCGAAAAGGCTGTTCACACGAGGCCTCAGAACCTGCGCATCTGTAGAGTGCCTCATCCTGGGAAAGCGCTTCCTCATACTGAGTAGAGCTGGTTTTTTTCTGTTTTCTATCACCCAGGATAAAGCCGTAAGCTCCCGTTGCTCTGTACCTGCTCACACTGCTTTGTTTTCCTCCCACAAAGGTCTCAATACCAGACAGTGGAGCATATATTTGCTTATTTTGTCTTCCCCTCTCTAGAGCATGAACTTCAAGAAAGTGTTACTTTTGTTTTTTTAAAACAGAGTCTCACTATATAGCCCTGGGTAGAGTGCTGTGACATCACAGCTCACAGCAACCTCCAACTCTTGGGCTTAAGCGATTCTCTTACCTCAGCCTCCCAAGTAGCTGGGACTACAGGCGCCTGCCACAACGCCCGGCTATTTTTTATTTTTTGGTAGTTGTCATTGTTGTTTGGCAGCCCTGGTGCATGTGGCTAGTGCCCTAACCACTGAGCCACGGGCGCCAAGCCTAAAAAGTTACTTTCTATTCGCCGCATTCTCCGTCCCCGCAGAGGTGGCGAGACTGAGTATGAAACTTTTCCTGGGCTGTCGGGACAAGTCTCACCCATCCATCAAAGGGCCCATCCTAATCCCTGCCCTTTGGGAGGCAGGAGGATCCCTTGGGGTCAAGAGTTTCATACCAGCCTGAAGAACATAGTGAGACCGTTTGCATAATTTTTTTTTTCAAATTAGCTTAGCGTGGTGGCGCGTGCCTGTAGTCCAATCTACTTGGAAGGCTGAGGCAAGGTTCCGCTTCAACCCAGAAGTTTAAGACTGCAGTGAGTTAAGCCAACGCCATGGCACTTTCGCCCGGGTGACAGGGCCAAACCCTGTCTCAAGAAAACGAAAGAGTTCAGGGACTCAGCGCCCTTCCTCCCCGTCCCGCGGGCAGACACGCGTGCACCACCGCACGAAGACGCCGCACGCGCGGGCGGTGTAAGTCCCGGCGGCGGCGCGCAGGGCATCTCGGGGAATGTAGTCCCCCAGAAGGTCCGCCCCGGCTCGCGGCCGCGCCTCCCAGCACTACAACTCCCACGAGGCAGCGGGACGCCGGCTCCCAGCGCCGGCCGACGGATCAGGCCTTCAGCTCGCGCTCGGTCCTCGGCTGGCGCCGCGCGGGCGGGGCGGGAAGATGGCGGACGTGGTCGCGGGCAAGGACAGGTGTGCGGAGCACCGGCTCGTCTCGCTGCCCCTGTCCCGCATCCGAGTCATCATGAAGAGCTCCCCCGAGGTGTCCAGCATCAACCAGGAGGCACTGGTGCTCACGGCCAAGGCCACGGTGAGCGGACCGAGCGCGGGGCGAAGGGGGAACTGGGGACTGCCCTTAACCGTCGCGCCCGACCCTGCGGGTTTCCGGCGCTGTTCAGTCTCCTTCGGCCTGAGGGCCGCTTCGCTGCCCGCTCCCACGCCTGTTTGCGCGCGCGCGCGCTCCTTCGCCCCGCCCAAAGGCCCGCTCCGGCCCTTTCTACAAGGCTTCACCCCGCCCACATGCCCGCTCCCGCCCACATGCCCGCTCCCGCCCTTTCTAGCGCGCCTTCGCCCCGCCCACATGCCCGCTCCCGCCCTTTCTAGCGCGCCTTCGCCCCGCCCTCTGGCCCGCTCCCGTCTTCCCTGGCGCGCTTTCGCCCCGCCCTCTGGCCCGCTCCCGTCTTCCCTCGCGCGCTCTCACCCCACCCCCGACCTGTTCCCATCTTCCCTTGCGTGCGGCGCGTAGCTCGTGGCCTTCCTGGTTCGGTGGACGGCGGTGTAGACTGGCCGGTCTTCGTTGGGTTTCTATGGCGGCGGCTCTACTTTTGTGCCCCTTACTGCAGGTCGCAAAGCCTTCCATTTTGTATCGATCAGCCTGCCTGGTGGTTTGGGGGGGTCCACCACCAGTGCCCCGTGCGAGAGCTCGCGCTCCCCTGGTGGTCGGCGGGCCCAGGGTCCCTGGAGGCGCCCCGCAGCTCCGGGTTGTTGTCCTCCCGCGCCCACGACTCCGGTTCTGCGGGTCCGGGATTCTCGAACCTGGCAGCACATCTCCTGGCCAGAATTTAAGAAGTTTCAGGGAACTTAGTTTTACAATTGTATCTGCCTCCATCTGGGTGCAAAATAGATAAATTTGTCACTTTTATTTAGTTTTGACAGTGATGAGCCAGAAACTTTATTGCTCTTAAGCAGGGCCATGTTTAAGCTATACAGTTAAATGTTTTAACTCCGCTTACATTGCATTTTCCATTCTCCACTTGTATTTTAGTAGTTGTGTCCCTACGAAATGTACCAGAGCTGAGGGAAGTGGGAAATGACGGATTTCTTGCCTGCTTTATGCCAGAGCCATGATTTCTTGGCGTCCAGGAGGGTAATTGCTGATTCAGCACGAGATCTTGGGACGTCCTCTTTTTTTTTTTTTTTTTTTGTTGAGACAGACTGATTTTGTCGCCCTGGGTAGAGTGCTGTGGTGTCATAGCTCACAGCAACCTCAAACTCTTGGGCTCAAGCGATTCTCTTGTCTCAGCCTCCCAAGTAGCTGGGACTACAGGTGACCACCACAACGCTTGGCTAGTTTTAGAGAAGGGGGTTTTACACTTGCTCAGGCTGGTCACTGAGCTCAGGGCAACCCAGCAGCTTCGGCCTCCCAAAGTGCTAGGATTACAGGTTTGAGCCACTGTGCCCGGCAATATTCATGCTGTCTTTCAGTTTCCTTCTGTTAGGATTATTGGACTGAGGTTTATGCAGGCACTTCTCTGATCCCTCATTAACTGAACTACATGGATTAACCAAAGTCAACACCTTGGGAAAGTCGGAGGCTCAGTTTAGGTTGTAGCCTTAGGTCAGTCTAAGGCCTGCGTGTCTGTTCCTAGCATAGAAGTGTTTGGGCAAAATGACAAATGTGGCCATTTGTTGATTTGTTGATTACTATAGTTGTAGGTGAACCACCTTATAAGGCGTATTGAAATAGAAAAACATAAATGCATTCCTAAATTAGATATAATATAAGCCTCTGGAAAATGTCCTCTTCCCTACTATTTTTGATATGGCCTTGCTTTCTTTCATGTTTCTCCTTTCCTCAGTGACTTCTTGTAATTTAATTTGAGAAACCAGGATAATCTGAAGTCTTTTAAATTTAATACAAACATAAACTTAGTGTAATTTGAACAGTTAAGCTCTGTGGTAAGCACACCTTTCATTTACTTTTTCACTTTGTTTTAGGAACTCTTTGTTCAGTATCTAGCCACCTATTCCTACAGACATGGCAGTGGAAGGGAAAAGAAAGCACTGACTTACAGTGATTTAGCAAATACTGCAGAGGAATCCGAAACTTTTCAGTTTCTTGCAGGTATTTAGTTTTTGTAACGTTCTGGTTAAAAAATTAGTTACTATAACTTCTTTTTTCCTGTTCTGCTTTCACTGAATGAGACATTTTGCTGCTCTCCAGGTGGCAAAGTTTACTATGGCTTGGCACAGGAAGATATTCTTAATCTACTCTATTTGAATGTGTAATGTGGTGCACTTAGAACTATAACAAGGTCAACAACATGCACAAGATGTGGTTGGCTGGGTGAGAGGCAGCCTCTTGCCCATCTGGATTCTCCTCACCACTGAAGGGAATACTGGGCCTGTCCGCCAGGCCCCAGAAACAAGAGTTAGTAGTGCTTGCTGCCCACAGGCAGTGGCCCACAGCTAAAACGATCTCAAGTCTACCCATGGGGCCAGCCCAGCCTATCTCGGGTTGCAGAGTGTTGATTACAGAAATACTGCATGGTGCGCATTGGTTTATGGTCAGTGGAATGGGAATAAGTCTGTAGCAGTAGTCAGGAGACAATGTTGGTTTCTCTGATAGTTCACCAGGAAGAGTAGCCTGAATTTTGTCTTGTTTTGGAACCTGTTATAAGAGCTAAAAGCAGGAACTAGTACATTTTGAAATTTGCATTACTGTATTTATAGTCTACATAACCAATTGTTGATGTAAGTTTTATGTTTTTAAGATATATTACCAAAGAAGATTTTAGCTAGTAAATACCTGAAAATGCTAAAAGAGGAAAAGAGGGAAGATGATGATGAGGAGGAGGAGAATGACAACGATGATGAACATGAAGACGAAGCCGAACCCTAAACCAGAGTTGTAAAAGTCAGCCTGGTGAGGAGCCTCCGCGGTCAGCACAGTTGCTTCGGCAGAAGTGTGGCTGCTACACCCTAATCTCTCTTCCTTTTAAGAGACTTCCAGTTTATTGAATCCTTTCCTGGCTAAGATCAGCATCTCAGCACCTACACCATAAACAGTCCCAGGGGAAGTAATCCAGACAGCAGCCTCTGAGAGGGTATCGCTGCAGTTGGAAGGAACTGAGAAAGCTGCCAGGACAGTCAGGCGCTGCTGGTTAATCTGCTGCAGCTCCAAACTGGAGAGGCAAAGATGACTTTGCTTCATCTTCTAATTTACAAATAGATTTTGAAGAGCTTCTAAATACTGGTTGTGTAAATTCATATATGTATATTGTGGAATTCTTGTAAACAGCAGATTCAATTTTAGCTAAATGTGTAGTTTATAGGTGGAGTATGTTACATCAGAACTTTTGTATTTTGCAGGTACTGGATTATTCAAATGTTAATCTTTTGAACTTTTTTCTATTAAAGATCTGTACATATTTTTACAGAAGTACTTTTTAGAACAAGTTTTAGAGTTTGCTATTGTAGTGCTCTGCTTTACTACTTGAGAATTTTGTGAAATTTAAAAATAAGCATTTCCAACACTTTCATTACTGGAGAAAAATTCCAAGTCAGCATTACCAAACAAAAAGAAATATTTCCTCTGCATATGCGTGTTCTTAAAATTAAAAAAAAAATTTGTTCCCCTTTCTTACTGTTCTTTGCTTTAAATCCTTTTATTGTCTGTAAGAGAAAACCATAAGCCTTATTTTTTCCCTCATATATATAGGGTAAATGTTTGACTCCAGTCTCTTCAATGTCTCTTTTAAAAAAAAATAATTATAATTTACATTCAGTGAATTACCCTTTGTAGTGTCCAAACTGAATCTTGACGCATGTGGACCAGTTCCATCACCCAGGTTCTGCCCTCTGCACCTGTGCAGTTAGTCGCTCCCTTTCCCCTGGCAGCTACTGTTTTCTGTCCCTATTATCTATTAAATTTTATTTATTTATTTATTTATTTGAGACAGAGCCTCAAGCTGTCCCCCTGGGTAGAGTGCTATGGCATTACAGCTCACAGCAACCTCCAACTCCTGGGCTCAAGCGAGTCTCCTGCCTCTGCCTCCCAAGTAGCTGGGACCACAGGCACCCACCACAACACCCGGCTATTTTTTGGTTGCAGCCATCGCTGTTTGGAGGGCCCGGGCTGGATTTGAACCCGCCACCTTAGGTGTGTGTGGCTAGCGCCTTAGCCACTTGAGCCACAGGCGCTGAGCCTTAAACTTTATTTTAAAATACAGTATATTAAAATCCACTTTAGTGTATAGTCCTGAGTTTGGAAAAATGCAGTCATGTAACCACCGCAATTAAGATACCACAGTTCTCCCCCCAAAATTTCCTCATGGTCAAATCCATCCCCAACTTTTACCCTGACGACCACTGAGGTATTCTTTGTCTTTGTAGCAGGAGTCAGCCAATTTTTTCTGGAAAAGGCCATTTTATAAGTATTTTAAGCTTTGTGGGCTCATCTGTCACAGCCGCTAAACTCTGCCACTGTTGTACAAAAGCAACCGTAGATAATATGGAGAGGAGTGAGTGTGGCTGTACTTCAGTGAAGCTTTATTTCTGGAAACTGAAATTTGGATTTGGTATAACTTTAATGTGTCATGAAATCTTTTATCTCCAGGCATTTAAAAATGTAAATTTTTAGCTTACATGCTGTACAAAAATAGGACTGGGTTTGACCTAGAGACCATACATTGCTGACCTGTCTTTTCCAGAAAAGTCACATAAATAGAATCATACAGTATGTAGCACTTTTTTTTTTTTTGGTGACAGAGTCTCAAGCTGTCTACCTGGGGGGAGTGCCAGGGCATTACAGCTCACAGCAGCCTCAAACTCTTTGGGCTTAAACTCTCTTGCCTCAGCCTGCCAAGTAGCTGGGACTATAGGCGCCCACCACAATGCCTGGCTATTTTTTTTTTTGTAGTTTTTGGCTGGGGTTGGGTTTGAACCTGCCACCTCCAGCAAATGGGGCTAGCGCCGTACTCCTTTGAGCCACAGGTACTGCCCTTGGCTATTTTTTTTTTTGATTGTAGTTGTCGTTTGGCAAGCCCAGGCTGGATTTGAAACTGCCAGCACTGGTCTATGTGGCTGGTGCCCTAGCTGCTGAGTTACAGGCGCCAGGCCCAGTATGTAGCATTTGAATCTAAATTTTTTCTTTGAGGCAGAGTTTCACTGTTGCCTCAGGTTAGAGTGCCCTGGCCTCAGCCTAGCTCACAGCAACCTCAAACTCATGGGTTCACCCCATCCTCCTGCCTCAGTCTCCTTAGTAGCTGTGTCTACAGATGCCTGCTACTACACCTGGATAATTTTTCTATTTTTAGTCTCACTCTTGCTCAGGCTGGTCTCAAACTCCTGACTTTAAGTGATTCTCCCACCTCAGCCTCCCAGCATGCTGGGATATAGACTTGAGGCATAGTGCCCGGCCAAGTCTAATTTTTATGTTTAACATAAGGCATTTGAGATTAATCCATGTGGTTGCAGGTTGCCAGTAGTCCATCCTTATTGCTTAGGAGCATAGTATGGACACACCAGTTTTTCCATTCCCTAATTACATAGCTAATTATTTAGCATGTTTCCAGTTGAAGAGATGAGATCTCACTTCATAATCCATGCTGGATCATAGCTCACTGTAGCCTCCAACTCCTGGGCTCAAAACAGTCCTCCTGTCTCAGCCACCCCAAAACAGTCCTCCTGTCTCAGCCGCCCCAGTAGCTGGGACTATAGGTGTGTACTATCACACCTGGCTAGCTTTATATTTTTGGTAGAGAGGGGAGTTCACTATTTTGTCCAGGCTGGGTTCAGACTCTGGTACTCAGCCAATCTTCCTGCCGTCATCTCCCCACCATGCCTGGCTTCTGTCTAGTTTTGATGATTATAAATAAAGCCCTATCAGCATTTGTACACAGGTTTTATCTGAGTATAAGATTTGATTTCACTTGGGTATATATTTATGAGTGGAGCTGTATATTACACATTACATTTTTTTTTTTTTTTTGGAGACAGAATCTCACTATGTCACCCTCGGTAGAGTACTGTGACATCACAACTCCAGGCAAACAGCAACCGCCAGCTCTTGGGCTTAAGTGATTCTCTTGCCTCAGCCTCCCAAGTAGCTGGGACTACAGTTGCCTGCCACAATGCCCAGCTATTGGCTATTTTTGGTTGTAGTTGTTGTTTGGCAGGCCAGGCTGGATTTGAACCCACCAGTTCTGGTGTATGTGGCTAGCGCCCTAGCCACTGTTCTAGGCGCCGAGCCTACACGTTGATTGCATGTTATACACATTGGTAAGAAGTGCCAGTCTTTTATCCAAAGTGATGGTGCTATACTGCATTCTTGTCAGCAGTGAATTGATTCCAGTTGCACTGCAAAACTTTGGTTCAGTGTTTGTTGAGTTTTGAATTTTCTGTATTATGAATACTGTTCCTTTGCCAGATACGTCTTTCTGTTCTCTTAGTAGCATCTTCTAAAGATCAGGTCTCAATATGGGGGAAGTACAGTTTATCAATTTTTTCTTTCATGGATCATGCTTTTTGTGTCATAGCTTAATAACTCATCACCAGAAAACAAAACAAAACAAAAAAAACCTCATCACCAGATCCAGTCACAAAGGTCTCCTGTGCCATTCTCTTTCAGGGGCTGTGCTTGGCCTCCAGTGCCTGTGCCTAAAGCATTGTGATGTTGTTTAGCAACCCCCAGGAAAATATTAATCCTCCACAAGCACTTCATATCCAATCACTTAGGGAGCACTGACCTTTTTGTTTCCTCCTTAAACACGTTAGACTGTGCGGTGGCTTCCTAACTGGTTTCCTGCCATGTTGCATACTGCGGTTAGATCATCAAAATGACTTTATGAAGGTTAGTTTCCTTTTCCTGGTTAGAAGTGTTAGAAATAGCTGATATTTTTAGTAGCCAGTGGGGGCTGAGCCCTGTCTATGTGCGTTACATATATTTTCATTGAATCCTCACAACTTGCAAAGTAAACAACCACATTTTACAGAGAAGGGAATGGAATCCCAGAGTAAGGACATGGTGGAACTGGGATTCAGAGCACAGGCTAAACTCTTCACTGGTTCATGTGGCTTTGAAAAGTGCAGTCTGAGCAGTGCCTGCTTGGCGTTCAAGGTCTTTGATGGTGATCTTACTCTGTATCCCGCAACATCACCTCTGTTGACGGTGACCTTCCTCTGTATCCTGCATTACCCTTCCTTTCCTACAGACAGGGTTGATCCTATATGGGCGGAAACATTCATCTCACATCCTCTGATGAAAGAGTAATTATTTGGAGTCCTTTGTTCATTCATACAGCTCTTATTAGCATCAGATCATGAGTGCTTCTGGCCATTTAATAAATGGTGTAGAAATGGCAAGAATACGACAAAGGCAGGCTGTGAAGAATACAATGTGGAGGAGCTCATCAGTTAATGCACATTCTTCCATTTTTGACTCGTGCTGTCTTGGGCAGTGGGCGCAAAATTGCTTTGTGTTTTAGATACTAAGAAGTAGTACAGGGTTTTAGGTACATTAAGAACGAAGCATGGAGGCTCGGCACCTGTGGCTCAAGCAGCTAAGGCGCCAGCCACATACACGTAAGGTGGCGGGTTCGAATCCCCAGCCCGGGCCCGCCAAACAACGATGGCTGCAACCAAAAAATGGCCAGGCATTGTGGCGGGCGCCTGTAGTCCCAGC